TTAAAAAGTACGCATTTGTTTGCTATTTACCCAGATTAAAATCCAGAAATATCCGTTAAAGCATGTATTCTCGATTACTATTTAGGTTTCACGGGATGATGTAGATGAACCGTATGCTTTTTAAAGGAGACAACAGAATGGAAGAACCTTACTTTAGTACGTTAGTAAGAAGGGTCAAACAGTTTAGCAACATACAATTAAATTGCCAACTATACTTTCCTTTTCCAACAAATGTAGCATAGTGAACAGATATTGAAGCTGATTCTGGATCGAACGGGTAGCCAGTGGGTTACAGAGTAGGATGGATCAGTTCTTCGTACTCTAAGAACAATCCAAGCAGCTTTGTTTTGAACTTACTGAGTTCCTGTAGCAAATACCGTGATGAAATCAATATAAGTGAAGTACAATAATCCAGTCTTGAAAGTACTAAGGAATACATGAGTGTTTTAGTGGCATCAATCGAAAGAAAATTGCGAATGGAGCTGATGCATCTCAGCTCCAGATATGTTTCCTTGCATATGTTTATGACACTTTGGTAAAACGAGAGAGTACGGTCGACACCAAGGTTTCGTACTACCTGTAAATTAGTTAGGTTAAGTGACAAGACAAGATAAACCCAACAAGCATTAAATTCTCCAAAATATAATTTCATTTCAGTAAAACATAACATCAAACAAAGTGAAATAATTAAAACCACTGATAGTGTATGAATTACTACAATATTATCGTAAATTATGCTATGAATTTGAGACTTATCCGGAAACTATCTAAAGGTGTTCTGAATAAAGATTATGATGAGTTTATCAGCTACCTTGCTAGCACCACTGAAAATCACAGTCCTAAATCCAAATGGCTTTGCGTGAAGGTAATCAAGTTCCCAAATATGTATTTAACTTATAACTGATAAAGTCATTAAACATGCGTACATAATCCAATAAGTATTGACTTTTAATTTAAAGATTATCCACTCTGCAAAGTCCAACGTATAAATATTATAATTAAATCACCTTTTTATCAACAATTCAAATGACAAATATCAAACGTTATCTAAATAAAAGATAATATATACAATGTTTCTTTTAAATAACCAGGAAAAACCAGTGAGGAAATACTGCGACATTCTTCTTTAAAAAATTAACTCGATTGAAAATATGAAACTTTAGAGCACCACCATACCTAGATAAAAAGTTACGTCAGCTGTAATGATCATGTTATTTCGATGTTTTGAGCCCTTATTTGTCAGTGTAAAAGGTCAGATCTTTCTTCTCGACAGCAATAATTCGGTTATACAATTACTTCTGGTATCAATGTTAGCCAAATCGTAGGGGTGATGTTGAAGCTCTACCCAAAAGGGAGAGAAATTTAATACATACTCGGTGACTCGGCGAACATTGATATCAGAAACAGCATGTAAAGTCGTTGTCAAAAGTTTTAGCTGCAGTTTAAAGTGTCTCTGGTGAAAAAAATGATAGAATACGATGCCTTTTCTTAATCCATTTACAGTGAGGCGCGTGCATCCCGTCAGCTGATGAAGAAATAAAAAACGATGCACGTTTCGCAATGCAGTTTCTAAAACCTGTTGAAAAATAACCAGCTTAACTAATTATCTATTATAATATCCATCATTGTGAGGAAAAAAATGACAACCAGAAGTTTGGAAGATAAGTACGTAAAATTCTTTGGAGCATACGAATTGAAACATCCCATTTAAGTGCAGCATTATTTCTATTGCTCTGAAGAAAAAAACAAGGTTGCGAATATTCAGCAACTGAGAACACGATGCGGACTGCCGTGTCAATTATTTCGGTTGCTGGCTGGAAGAAGGATAAATATAAAAACACAACAGAGAACCAGTGTCGTTTGAAATCAGATATAGATACATCCTTTAATTTACAATGATAAACTTCACATGTTCTTTGAACTGGAATCAAAGTTCGAAAAATACCGAGATGTCGTTGAAGACCGAACAGGAAGGGAGATGGTTTCAATACAGCCGAAGGAGAAAAAAATATCCTTTATGATGTCTATCCTTAAAAAAAAAACTTTTAAATTTTCGAGATGATCTATTAAGTTCTCATAATGAAGCCGCGGATAATAACGTGAAATGACTCAGTCTGACCCAGATTTTGATTTCAACGCAAATGACAATACACACCATTTCTTTGTGCGAGAAGAGTTTAAAAAAATCCTTGCGTGAATCGTAATTTCTATAAATTCGATGCATTTGGGCAAGATGGCAAGTATTATTTCTCGATTAGAAAAATATGTCTTTTCTGTGTGACCGGTGAACCTAATAAGACTGCCTGTGTTCACTTAAATCACACACAATGCAGAACAACTCAGTCATTCAATCTGGATGGGTCTGTAATAGGATGGGTATAGAAACATACCAGAGTATCAATACCTCCTGAAATTATATATATATATATATATATATATATATATATATATATATATATATATATATATATATATATATATATATATATATATATATATATATATATAAAACTACTCTGATCTACGTACAGTTGCCCATGAATCCAACAATTTCTTTCTTGTCGACTGATTACTATATAAAATATGTGATAGTCACATGGACTTTAATAAGAATTTTTAACAAGTAAAAGTGTGTCTATATATATATATATATATATATATATATATATATATATATATATATATATATATATATATATATATATATATATTAAAAAGTAGAGATAGTTTCATATAATACAGTTGTCTGGCACCCTTCTAATGAGAAGTACATGAATTCCAAGGATAACTAATGTGAGCAAAAAATTAACCATTATCAGCTTAATGAAGCACGAGGTATAGGTAACAGTGTCCAGCTTTGGGTGGGAAATTGTTGTAGAAATCTAGACACATATTACAAGACTAAGATGACCTTGCAATCAACTGCGCATGGTGTGCTAACTTAACTTTAGATATACGCACATAGTAAGCTAAAACAATGTAATTAATCGTTTCAAATTTGAAAATATTGTAGATTTTATTCAATTTGTTTCCTTGTTATAGGTCACTTTCTGCAACGCAAGAAAGGTGTAAAAGTCTTTGGTCTTTAAAAAGCCCAATGAGTTTGTCATGTTATGATTTAAATGGAACGAAATAGTAAGCAATTTATATATATATATATATATATATATATATATATATATATATATATATATATATATATATATATATATATATATATATATAACCTCTTTGCACAATAAAATAGCATGCACGAGTTGAAGAGCTCCTTTCAATTAAATGATGACGAAGATTATTAAGGTGAACAATATAGCAAGGTCATCGAACACAAAAAATAAATCTATACACGTTTTTTGTTTAAAAAAAGAAGGCTCATATTTCTAACAACCATGTCATGGGTGATTATTTCAACATTTGTGCCACCTTACAATAACAGGTAGAATGTGAGTAAATATCGAGTGAAGAACTCTGCATTCCTTGCTAGAAATTTATATCAGTTTGAAAATGTGTCAATAGCTAATAATATTTTAAAAGTGATTTAACTCAACCGTTTTACCGTTTCAAAAAGGTAACAAAAATATGTTAAGGCTTCTTTTATATAGAAGGGTTGGTCAAATCAATATATATATATATATATATATATATATATATATATATATATATATATATATATATATATATATATATATATATATATATATATATATCTGTATTTTTAAAATGTTGTTTTTTCATAATTGAGTCATAGCTCTATTGTTGTTTTTACTACTCTTTAGGGCGGAGGCTAGGCAAGAATACGATCTAATTTCTGACTGTAAAAGGATTGAAAAGTGGGTTAAATAGTTTCCCCACTCTACCCTCCTGTCAAACAACTCACGTACGCGATGTATTCATTTACTGGAGTGTACTGTGGTGCATTTCCTAGGTGGTTATTCTTCATGCATATGAAGTACTCTCAGAAGTCAGACTGGTATAATTCTAAATTCAAGTATATTCTGCTTCTCTGTTTCATATGCTCCCTGCGTTGCACTCCGCTATATGAAGTCAGGTGAAGACCGACGCCATATTGTCACTTGATCAAAACAAATGGAATCAGATCACAATTATATTTCCGGTTCAGTACGAAAATAGTCCTAGTCTATTTTCACAGCCGTAGTTTCTTGTCTGCTTTTGTTTGTGATACAAGAATTAGATTTAGGCATTTTTGTTACGGATTTAAAGGCAATTGTTTATTTTTTAGAATATGAGCTTATGTTGTGGTTGTATGTGTGTGTTTCGGCAACAGTGTATGATGAGTAATAAGATTTTGGTAATGATCCGGAAAGGAAATGTATTTTCAATTGTGTTGGTTTTTTAACATTCCAGCCTCTCAACAAAATGCCGGTGACCCTATGACGACAGCTTCACCGTGGAGTCACCTTTGATTGTATTTGAGATTAATGTATGATATGTATTGATTGTCACACAGTGGAAAGTTCAGAACTGAGAAACAAATGTATAGAATATATAGTAAAATTAACTGTGTTCTTGGTCCAAATGGCATTATATGGTGAGATCTAGTTAATCTAAATATGGCACATATATTCTTTAATATTCTTTTGTTAGCGATACAAGTGTGAACTTTGCTAATAATTTTGATATGAACTAATGCAGTCATTTTCTTGTATTCAAGCTTAACCAACAATATTGTGTGTGTGTGTGTTTTTGCGAGAGAGAGAGAGAGAGAGAGAGAGAGAGAGAGAGAGAGAGAGAGAGAGAGAGAGAGAGAGAAATCTGGATTTTTAATGAAGCTTTATCAATTTTTCAGTCATATCACCACGATATCTGCAGTGTGGCAGTTTAGAGTGATGCCTAGAACTGGGGCATCATGCCGCAGACATGTAGCATGATACACCCAATCACATTATACTGACAACAAACTGACCAGTTCTAACGCTAACATCTTAATGCTGGGCGCCTAGCAAGGCAGCTGTTTGTACCATTTTTATAAGTCTTTGTTATGACTCGACTGGGGTTCGAATCCGCGACCTCCCGCATCCAAGACGTACGCTCTAACCACTAGGCCATCTAAGAAGTCGCGATACTTTGTTAATATTGCACATTTTACATAGCTTTATCTAAAAAAAATTCCTTCTCAGATCGATGTAATGAATTTTACGTGGAAAACGATATGAAATGATGTACAAGAGTCTAAATATAGCCAAAGATTAAGAAAAAAAATCATCCCTCTTTTATGAGAGGGTAATTGTAACGATTATTTTGCCAATATTGCACACCTCGCACCGATTCTTCTAAAATGTTCCTGTTTCAATACATTTCTGGTCAATTTAGCATTGATATTGATAAATTGTTGCACATGGCACCTCAGACTTTGGCAAATATTAGGATCAAAACAGCAAACTAATTCAACGAGAATGCTAATGTGACGATATTTGGTCAAATATTATACATTCCAATTGTATCCTGTCAAAAAAAAACATAATTTGCTATCAATTCATACGTACCTTCACTTCGGATAGGATGTAAGACGATAGATGACAGTCTTCATTTGCTATAGATATAAGTCTAAAATACCATCTCCTTTACATGAAAGAATGGTAGGGGTGGTCGACGATATGTTGTCAAATAATCATATTAAGTTTGTATTAAGGTTTAGACTTTTGGTCACTAAATATTGCAAACAGTATTCGCTATATAGCCAAATTAAATCAGTGATGAAAAAATTATAAATTTATGTTATGCGCTTAGCATTAAAACATAATATCATTGTCTTCCAGTTATGGTGATATAAGTGATTTTTTAAACGATCTTGAGAGCAGAACCATGTCAATGAAATCTGAATGAATTTTACAGGAATAAAAACAAGAGACATGTAACTGCTGTATACTGGATTATACTTACAACTTGTTCAAAATACATTTCATTCCCCCAGCTTCTACCATTGAACACAAATCTCAAATCTGACGGATCGTTTTGTTTATGTTGCCCCGATAAAACCATGAGATTCATGAAGATTGCATTAATGTTGATTAAACAGTTTGAGTCTATAAATCTGTATACGGTATAAATGAGTTATATAAGACATATCATGTTTGTTTCGTTTTTGGAGAATCTTTAAAAAAACAACAGCACATTAACATTTTATTGATGTTGAGGCAAGTAATGCATCCTGCCTAATGACACAATGAAAAAATGTATGTAAAGTAATATATAATTGTCAATTTAAAATTGTTCAAGGAGTGGCATAGCAAGAAATTATAAATTTGCTCCACCTAAAATTAATTCTGGAGACCACTCCCCAAAAAAGTAGTTCGATGGTAATTTTAGATCCAACCCTTAGTTGTCAGTGTTGTTTGGGCGGTTGCCAAGCCACTTTGTTTAAGGAATAAAATTGCAAATGGAATTTTTAGATGACAGTCAGAAATATCCTATATTAGCCAAACCATCAGCCTCATCGTTGTGGTCTTAATGAAAATATGGGTTGTCATGAACGCTACCTCAATATCAATGTACACTTGATCAATGAATCGATTACAAGTCGAACTTTAGATGATGTTTTCTCAGAGACACTTATTTGATAAAATATCGTCACCAACCCCACTCCTCTTTCATATAAAGGAGATGGCATTTTGGTCCTAATTCTTTGGCAAATGAAGGTTATGATCCAATGCCTTACAACAATTCCGACGTGAACGTTATCAAGGTATCGAATGCAAATGACTTTTTTACATGATGCAAACAGAATGTATAATATTAGACTAAATATCTATAAATTCACATACTCGTGTAATGGGATTGCTTATTTGGTTCTAATATTTCGCAAAGACTTAGGTGTCATATACAACAAGATATCAATATAGATGTAAAATTGATCATGGAATGTATTGAAATTGGACAATTTTAGATGACGTGGTGTGACGTGTACAGCATTTACAAAACAATCATTACCTTCACCCACTTTATGTTTTTTTAGTCTGTTGTACTACAATTTTAGATCAATAACAATGTAAAATTTATCAAGTAATCGATTGGAGAAGGAATTCTAAGATGATCTGTGTAAAATTTGCAATATTAACAAAATATCATAACTGAGTACACTTTTCCTTCCTCCGCGCCTGCTATTAAAAATGTTTGGAAAAATAATTGGTGGGTAAGCTTGAACACAAGATAATGACTGCTATAGTTCAAATCAAAAGTATTAGTAAAGTTCACATTGTGTCACTAACAAAAGGAAAATTAAAGGGATATATTTTTCATGATTGGATTAACTAGATCTCATCATATGAGGTCATTTGTTTTGATCACGTGACAATATGGCGTCTGCGTTCACCTGACTATGTATAGAGGACCTTAGGTCTCAATGGATAGTTTCGTATTTAGACACACACACACACACACCTACCTAATTTTAAGGTAGAAGGCATGAGCCTAATTATGACAACCCTAGCATTTATAAATTCACACATAAGCTAAATCTGTAATGTGGTTTACATTTACTTTGAGTTAGGCTTGTAAATGGATTGCCTTGTTGGTGACTGCCTCTCACAGACAGACTAGCATTGGAGATCAAATGCATAAGTTGGGCTGCAAATGAGCAGCTGACTTGGCCTACGTATTTACATGTGCCTGCTACAGAGGTAAATATCTAAAAATCTCCATTGTTGAGGGGTCATGAAAAGTATGTCAATTTGTTATAGTACTAATGAACTTTCAAGATCAATAAGGCACGTACTGACTCTGATAGCCTGCTTCTCACAGGAACAGGTTGAAAATAGCTCGTTTCTGTCAAAAATGAAAGTAAAAAGAGGGGTTAGTAGTAGAATAGGTTCAGTATCAAAACCACCGGTTGCATAAGGAATTAATACCTTAGTCAGTATCTTACAAGCATTCTTCCAACAAAAATCATTAGTTAGTTTTCATTTGTATCTTTATTGTAAAATTATGATCATTTTTCTGCAATAGGTCATAGTCGGATGAAAATTTTCCAAAACAACTGTCCGGTGAGACCTTATGAAGCAGTGAACGAAACTCATTCAAATACTGTCTGAAGTCAGAATAGTTTGATTCTGCAGAACAAGGTATAAATATACAGGCGCGAAATATCATTCACATAAGTGTATGGCTGATTACTTCAAATGATCACATGCAACATTAACCTGACGAAAACGAAAAGTAAAGATAGCTATTTAATTTTCTGTAAAGTTACAGCAAAAATACCCATGTACAATAAATTGCCAGATGGAGATCAAATACTACCAGGATGAGATCAGTGTATTATATGAAGAATTCATTCCCAAAGAAAACCTTGACAATCCAGCATCTGTTGACTGACCATCATTAATGCATCTGTTGACTGACCAGGATGACTTGTCCGTTTTACCTTTAATAAGCCTAGGTAATATAATAGATGCCATTCCACTCGATAAATACGTAGCAATACGCACACTAAATCTGAATGGGGAAAATTCCTTTAAGATGCACGCGCCCCGAGAGCCTAATTTTTTAGTGGATCGGGTCCTGGTGAATATTTCACAAAACGGAAGGGTTGCTCCTATTGACCTATATCTACAAGTGTCACAACTGAGGCTTGTCCGATTAGCAATCGCCACTTTGCATACCTGTAATCATTGGCAGCGCCAGGGTTCAATGCACCCGGATCAATATTCTTTAGTGGCATGCATACTTTGCCACACAAAACAGTTTCTTATATCAGCCGCCAACCGCCTTCCCCCCATACATATTAGTTTTGTCAATTCCTGCACCTGTTTCACGCACTAAGGTGAGGTGAAATAATATAAATACTGCAGCAGAGAAAAAGAGCTCCTGACGACGCACTATTTTGCCCGTTTGCCCTCCCCCATCGCCCCACTACTGACTGTAGTCCCCGTATGCACACATGTATGTGTACGAAAAGTAGCAACACTTGTTACAGATGGCAGCGTGTCAATATGTTTTGTCTTTTGTATAGTACGTCTTAGTGAGCTACATATAGTAAACTAGGAAACGGATTTCTAAGGCTGATATTTAGACAATTTTTGGCAACAAGCCTGAACATTTTTTTTATAGATAACAGATAAATGCAAAGACAGCTTCTTTGTGACAAAGTGATTATGTTGAATTAAGTTGTTATACCCGTCTAACTAATCTGCCTTTTATAAAATGGATCTGTCAGAATGGAGTTTAAGCCTAAAGCACAAGGAAAACGGTAATTGACGTCGTCTTTGTATTGGTAATATAATTATTTCATTTTATTTCACGCTAGCATACGAATCTCTACAAAATGACAACCGTAAACCTTCTTTCCACATCAATGTATCTTTTGAGCTAGATAGCTATCGGTCAAGACACAAATGGATACATACGAAAAAAAAACAAGTAATGGAATGGACCTAAGAAAATTAATTGCACTTGCAAAATATCCTTCAAATTAAAATAATGGAGAGCAACAATACAGTCTTTGAAAGACCATGGTCAAGAAATCACATGATTGGTATGTGCGGATTTTGTCTATCGCGATTTTCATACAGTGATGCCAGGAATAGTCTGTAACTTCCGGGGGTGCTTACTATTTAAGGATAAGCACTATTTATATCCGTCAGATGTCCAAGTTATGTCACTGTTCAATTCAGTGTCATGGTATTAATTGATATCTTCTGGCTGTAGAAACCATGTCTTTATTCACCACAGTACCATGGTATTTATCTAGATACACTAGATGTCAAACCATACCTCTATTCCCAATTATGTCATGGAATTTATTTGTATTCTATGGATGTCTAACCCAGAGATTTATTAAAACGTTTTATTGCTCTAGCACTGTCGAATTTGTTATATACAAGCTGAATGTCCAAACCGTGTATCCCTTGAAATGTTCTAACATACCGTTACCATGGTATTTATGTATATCAGCTGGATGTCCAAACAATGTCTTTATTAAACTATTACGCCAGTGCCATCGCATTCATTTTATCTAGTCATTATTTTATAAGAGACTGAATAAATTAGCATAGTTACGTTAGAATTGCAGTATCCTGTTCAGCTCAAAAGTCATGATTAATACCTGTTATAAACGTTATA